AAAGGAATGTGCTGCTCTGGACTGGCTGCTACTGAAGCCGACCAAAAACGTGTTTTCTCCCAAAAGTCAAACTAGGAGGATAAAACAATTGAGGACCCTGTTAAAGAGCACCAGAAAAGTATTTTGGATTATTATATGACTATCTGGAATGCAGCTTCTTGGCTCCCTGAACTGCAGCCTGCTGCGTTCAAACCTTCAAGCAGAAACCGCTCAGTTACATATTGACCCACTGGCCAAATCAGAAGAGAAGCTGCCCATAAGGCCTAGCAGTTTCCAGAAGGTGCTTTAAGAAAGGCAACACTTCTCAAAATTGCATTAAAGAACATACCCATCGTAGGCTCCACTAACAATCCTCTTGTTGTCAAACCTGATGCATCGAACCAGTTCTTCATGGCCTTCTAATACTCTTAAGCAGGCACCACATTCAATGTCCCATAGCCTTAAAAAGCAGAGGAAAACAAAACAGCTTTGAATACTTGGGGTTCAGCACCTGCCCCTTAGCCTTACGTACAGTGATTCAACCATACTAATTACTTTCTTGGAGGGAAAGACTACACAAAAGGCAATTCTGGAACCACAAGATGCTCCTTGCATTCACTACACAGAGAATAATTCCGATAGGCAGCTTGGTCCATTCAAAACTACCAACAAGTAAAAGTTGGGTACTTGCTGAACTATTTCAGCGAGTTTTAATGTACTGATTTGTGGGTGGGTGGGTCTTCATATTGCATGCACCGGTCTGGTTTAACTACTTTCTGAACCTCTAATAAACAGTGAACAAAGTCTTTCTCATTTCTCTAATTGCAGGAGCAAGGCAATAAACTTGCAGGATCAATTGCTTCTTGTTGTTTACTTTCAACATCAACCTTGCAATCACAATATTTCAATAGGGTTGTATAAAATACATTTATTCTCATGCTGGCCCAACTATTCACCCATACACTATGTGCTTCAATAACAAGACATAGCAAAAAATCTCCTTTTCTGGCTGTGAAGCAGGGCAGGGCATTAACACGGGTCAGAAGTAAGTGGTTCCACCCCCTGGGACGTGCAGCCTTTGCACCCACCTAATGGTATTGTCCGAGGACCCGCTGACGACGAGCCGATCGCGGTACTGCAGGCAGGCAATGCCCCGCTTGTGCCCGTTCAGGGTCCGGACAAACTCGCAGGTACTCGTGCTCCACACCTGCAAAAAGGGACATCAGTTGTGCTCAAGACTGCTGAGTTTCACTAGAAACTGTTAAGAGCCCATAACAAAAGAGGTCTGAGGTTGACCTTTGCACAAAGGGCCAGTGAGAAAAGGTCAGGGAGGTTTTTTGCTACATTTTTTTTTTTTTTTTGCGTGGTAGAAACTACTCCAAATGATCTGATAACACTTCATTACACTTCAATCTTAATAGGTTAGTCCAATTAAAAAGTGGAACTTACCATATACACAAGCAACTTATTTTTTTACCAGTAAGTTGCTAGCACTGCACTAAGAGCAAAATTGTGATGTATAAAAGCTTGGTGACCATGTCTTTCTTAACATTAGCTGATCACCCACTTTTAATAAACTGCAATTGAAGCTGTAATGTAAAGTATCCAGTGGCTTATTTTTCAGCACGCAACAGTACCCTTGGCAGACATTTGGACACAGAACTGCCAAGAGCTTTTTGGCATGGCCTAAAGTAGTCTAATTCTAGAGAAGAAAGGCTGGAAACGCCTTTGTTATATGAACACTGTGGGTAATTCGGATCTCCTGGTATGTATATGTATATATAAGCTTCAAATACAGCATTTTAGTTCTTGAAACAAGGCAAAGCCGGGGGTAGCTGTTGGGAAGACTGGGTGAGGAAAGGCAACTGCTGATCAAATTCACATCTGGGACGGGCCTACCAAGGGAAACTGAAAAATGCCATTTGGAAAATGGCACAAAATGTGCCACATCTAACAAACAAGCCAGTCATAAGACAGAGCTGAAGGGGTGAAGAGGCTTCAGTTTTCTGTACCTTCATGACAGAAGCTGCCCAAATTTTACAAACCTACTTTATTTTTGCAAGGATATTAACAGCCAGAAAAAAAAAGCAACCAGTTGAACAGTACCAAGAGGCACAGAGCTGCTCACAGACCCTTCTGTTATTTAGGTTTGAACCTTACCAGTTGGAAGCTTTTACATTTTATTCTTCCAGGCACAGATTGGTCTTTTTAGTTGCCATTTCCTCAGTGAGGAAGATCTAGATGATCTAGTTTGGACAAACTTACCTTAATGGTCCTGTCCCCCGACGCTGACACAATGTACTTGTCATCGAAGTCTACGACGTTGACAGCAGCACGATGGCCAACCAAGACGCGGCGCAGGGTGATGTCAGTAGGTGAGGCCATGTCCCAAACAGCGATGGATCTGTCCTTTGAGCAGGTCACCATGAGGCCGTTACTGAACCTCAAATGAAGCACTGCCTCATTGTGGTGAATCAGGGTGTTCAGAACTTCACCCGTGTTCACGTCCCAAACTCTGCAAGAACAAAGTCATTTTAGCTTGGATGAAGGAAGATGCCTCTGCACAGCATAAACGTGGGTAGATCAACTGCCAACATTCAAAACCAGGAACAAGGAACTAGGTCAGGAACGCATCGCTGTCCAGTGCCACCTACCAGCTAACACAGAATGAGAAGCACTACTTCACGCACACCAACCAAGGGCTGCTAGGATCAATTCTTAGCATTTCCGAAGTTGTAGATACCAATATTGCCACCATGGCTGCAAGACAGCAGAGACAAAGGCCTTCTACTGACCTGTAGCCAAGCATGCTTGCATGGGGCCTCTACAGAGCACCAAATTCATGCAAGAATTTAAACTCAATGTCATCAAAAATGCTGTTAGACAAGTACGTGTGCAAGCGCTCTTGCACCAGTAGTTGTATGATGCAAGATACCAGGACCTCGGATGAGGCATTTGCAGCAGAGATGGCTCATCAGCTATTCTATACAGCTTCAGGTCATGCCTTGCACCACACACATCACATTCCTTCAAAGTTTTTAACATCTTACCAAATTAAAGATTGAAAAAATAAGTGCTGAGTGCGATGCTTTGCCAAATATGAATATTTTGATTTTTCGATAGCAACATCATATTCAGAACAGGGCATTTGTACTGCCTGCGTGGAGATTTTAAGCATGTCCAGCCTTGACGGTCGAGCATTTCTGCACAAAAGCTGAACACTCACCTCACTGTAGAATCTGAAGATCCAGTTACAATGACCCTCTCATCATACTGCAGACAAAGAACAGAACCAGTATGTCCTGTTAACACTTTCAAACATTCCAAGCTTGTTTTGTCCCAGATCTGTTAAAAAGAAAAGGCATTGTCAGCTTACCAAGTTCAAAAGCACAAGTTGAAGATTTTCATATTGCAGTTAGAGAGAAGGATGGATGGACACTAGGGTAGCAAGAAGAATTCATGGGTAGTTATCCTGTCTAAGCAGGGGGCCTTTCCTCCCTTTAGCCTGAGGTAGCAAGTTCTTGACAAAAGAGTGAATAACCAAGATGATAAGATAAAGATACACAGCGTCCCAGGAAGAGATGACTGAGATCATTGAGGAAATGCAGAGAGGTATCTTACCAAGGCAGAACCGCCTGTTCATCTCTAGAGAAAAGCCTGAAAAATAGCGTTTACCTTAATGGAGTTATCTCGCAGGCCACTGATGATCTTCTCGTCATCATACTGTAAGCAGTAGACACCTTTGCTGTTTTCGGAGCGGCACTGGATCCTCTGCAAGTTGTGCCGCCCGCAGCGCCAGTTAGATTCTATAGTCTAAGAAGGGGGCAAAAGGATTAGATGTTATTTGTAAGGTTGCACTGCTTCATGGCAACTGCCACATCACCATCATTCCCAGATCCTTAACACTGAACGTGAAAACCTGAAATGCATCTTTTTTCCAATAAAAATACATACAATAATGCATTAGAGTTGGTACTTTAGTGTTTTGCCCGGACCAAAGCCAAACTGTGATTAGTGAGACAAGGTCATATCCAGTTGGCTGTAAGGAGCATCTTCAACACCACCATTAGAGAGATACAGTCCATGAAAATTTCCTTTTCCCTGGTACATACCATGGCATCTGACACCAGCAGTAAAGATTAATCAGAAATTCACCTAGAACCGTGTTCAGCATCACACGAGTAACACACATTGCAGAACGGCTGAGCCCAGCACGGCGGCCCTGGAGCTCTGGAGCTCTCCTATCTCCACTCAGTTATCTGACCTAGAAGCTGCCCTGCATCTCAAAGGGACTTTGAACTATGAAAGGTTCCTATAAGCACCTTAAAACCCAACAAAAACTTAAGAGTAACAAAACAGGGACTGTAGGATTTCAATCCAACTTAAGCTATTCAAACTTTTTAACACCCTCTGCTATTCACCCTAGTCCTCAACATGCTCATTCCAAGAGAGATTTGTGAGGCAGGAAACCTGGCACATCCAAACAGGTCGCAAGCTATGATCAGAAGTCATTCCCATATTTCAATCAGACTTAGTACTGGTGGGAAGACGCAAGCTGATTTTCAAAGAAATCGGGGATTTAAGTTGGAAAGTTTGCCACGACAAGTCAAGGGAGCAGGAGGAGGAGGAAGAGGGTGCTGAAGTCCACGCCAACATCTGCAGCACCCTGGCCGGATGGGACGCTTCTCTGTATTGGAAGGGATCGTTTATTTGATCATTTCCCTGGGTTCTCCCTCCAGATTTCCAAGCAGCATTTTTGGAGATGGAAAGAAGCTCATTATATGTCACTTTATCGGAAAAAGCATATTTATAACCGAAATGTTAATTCTAAACAGCAGCAAGCCGCTCTGCGGCACCCTGCAGCTCCTCCTCCTCCTCTCCCAAAGACCAGGAAACAACCGGAGCACCAGTCAAGGACAAAAACACCCTGCACTTTGACTTCTTAATTCTCAGAAGACAGACATACTCAGGTGCTTTGTTTTCCATGCCCTTGCTCCCGTTGTCCCGTTTTGCAATTTGGAGAGAAGTACACACAGCCGTAACACCAGCCTGATGTGTCACCCGGACGTATCTAAATGACAGGAACCGAGAGAGGCTTCTGGAGGGACATGCAGCCCAGTTACTGACTGCCCCCTCCATTTGCTCTGATTTGGAGTAGCTGGTGAATTCAGACAAGTCACTTGGCACGGTGAGATCCGTGCACTGCTCATCATTAGACTGCTCGAAGACCTGATACTGCTTCAGCCCTGGGTTCCTGCCGGGAAGGCGGCAGACTGCGGATGAAGGCTTGGTGAGGAAGGACAGGCACCAGGATGCAATCCTAAAGCTTCATCCCAAGATTTATCACCTGGGTTCCGAGGGGGGAAACACAATTCGTTACGTCTGTGTTGTCAGAGAGGGGACAGGCTACGCTCAGAAGCGGGAGACGGGTTTAGACATCCATATAGCATGAACCAGGATAATACAGATCCCACGGCAACACATTTGGACGAGACACATACGAGACTAGGTATCACAGATGGGAGTTAACCAATTCCAGCAGCTCCAGTAACCGTGTACGCTCAGAAGTCTAATTCTAGGAAGAGTTCAAAGGAGAGTTTCCTCCGAAGCCGCTTTGGGGCAGAGTTCTGAAAAGGCAGCTGTAGGTAACACTCATCCCGGTTCCCTTTCCCGGAGCCTCAGCTCCCCGCAGCAGCCCCTGCCAGAGCTTTGGGATGCATTAGGAACATCACAAACCAGAAATTTTATCCACAACAAACAGCTTCTAAACAAAGCAGGCGCCAGGAAGAGGACGCTGCTCCAATTCCTCCAAGTTCACTATAGGAACCCACTGAATAAGCTTGCCATAAGAATCTGCTGGCTTCAAATAAGAGAGACTCCAGCATTTTTTATACCTATGCAACGGCGCCGGAAAGCAGTAAGTCATATGCAGGTGCACATTTTAATTCTGTGAGTAGATGTCATTTCATTTAGACATTATACGGTGTGGCTACTGTGGGAAAATACTTGATGTTTTTTGAGAACTTGTAAAATCCCCTTACACTGCGTAAATTTTCAATGTGCTGGGAAAGTAGCCACGAAACACAGAGAATATACAGCAGCATTTAAATTGGCAATAGAGTGAAAACAGATGTGTACGTATAGAGAAATAACATTATTTGAGATGACTGAACACAGCTGAGTGGGTGGGCAGCCTGGAGGACCCTCTCAAAAGGAACATGTTTAATAACGCTGGCAGCCACATGAAAGCTTCTTGGTAGAGGACATTTCTGGTTGTTACTGAAGAGTGCCGTAAGTAAAAGTTTTTCTCTGCAACCTTCTTCCAGAAGATAACTTAATAAAGTGTACATGCTGAGCAGGTAGGCATGCACATGTAAGAGGAGAGGAAGAAACTGCTGTATTTTATGGGCTGTTACAAGCACCATGGAGCCAGTGCTGAAGAGCCCCCCAGTTTATTTACATACCTATGATACTGAACCAACTACTAATACACACCCTAGCCACTGCAGTGGTTCCCATAGGCTCGCCCCGAGTCTCCAAGCTACCAGTCTCTAAAACTTGGTCTCTCAACCACATTCCTCCTACATTAAATCTCTGTCAACAGTTCTGGCCATTTGTACCAGGGATACACATGGGCTCATGTTTTGTTATCTTCTTGCCTCTCTTTCCTTTGTGCTAAGTCCAGAAACACAAAGGCCAGGTATGGACCTGGAGAAGAGCTTGGACCTGGGGAATCTCAGATATTTCTTATGACACTCAAGTTGTTTAAGGAGAGGCTAGGAATAGAGGTCACTTAATGGCAGCCTTTCAGACATGAAAAACAAGATTGAAGTTATGGTTTTCCTTTCTTTTGACTTCAAAAGGGCCAAGGAAGTCCCAAAGGGCCAACATTGCTTCTCAACTGCTACAACATTTAGAAAAACAAACAAGAAGCCAAGAGAACAGTGAGCATCTGAAGAAGGAATTTCATCCTTCTGAGGAAAGGCTGTTTGAAACACCCTGCCCAGAGGGCTTGAATTGCTCCTCAGTAGCACCTGGTGTGTTAGGTGGACACATAGGGCTGAGAGCCTCACAGTAACAGGTGATATAACACAGCAACAGCAAAGCCTCCTTCCAAAGCAACCCCCAGAGGGACAAAATCCCACAAGCAAAAGCATCACCACCTTGCCTGGGAGCATAATCACCTCCAAAACCAGCGTTAGGGAGCTACAGACCAGTGCTTGTAGCAGCAAAGGCAGCAAAGGAGCTCAAGAACCACGAAAACTGATCATATGAGGGGTAGCCCTGTACACAGAGAGCAGGGAAATCCCTGTGCCAAAGCACTGTGGCATAAAGGCCTCGGTCTGTGTCCAGCGTCCGAGTGAAGCATCTCCTCCTTAGAGCAGCTGCACCGTGAAAACGATCAAGGAGAAAATCACGCAGGCCGGGAAGCTCTGCAGAACTTGCTGCTCGACTGAAGTTGTTGACTGCTCGTGAAACTGTTGCTTGAGGCGGCCCACACCCTACAGCATCCACGGGCACTAAAACAAGAACTAAAACCCTCACCTAGGGCCGTGCCCATTCCTTCAGAAGGGAGCAGTACACGGACACGTCGCCTCGCACATCAGCTGGCCTCATGCTAAAACAGAGAACCTTGCGTGCTGGAAACCCTCCCCTGCTGCATCTTTCTACTTAACATCCTACCAGAAATCATTGCTGGCTTACATAGACAGACAAGTCAAGCAGCACTATAGCAAACAAATGCAAAACAATAAACCTAAGCAAAGAATAATTAAAAACCAATGATGAGCCAATTTTTTGAATTTAGTTTGTTTCAGGTAAACTGAAGATCCAAGTAAGAATAAAAACCACCTTCATTAAGAAACACAGAAACAAACCTAACAAATGGAGAAAAAGGGATTCATTCTATTCCCATTAGCACACAGCCTACACTAAAGTTTTGTTCTGGACGATTTTTTTCTACTTGAGCAGAAAGGGGCACATTCATTAAAAAAAATAAAAGGAAAAAAATTCCAGCAACTGAAAACTTGGCCTCTGACTTGATTTATAAAAGTCACAGAATGATCAGAAGAAAAGCCATAGACCACAGAGTCCCCAAAATCCTAAACAACACTAGAGACAGAGGGATGGGAAGCTTTTCCTAAGAAGCGTTACAATTAAATCATGAATTCTGGCAGAATTCAAGACCTAAAAATTAAGCTCCAAATGTTTACAGCCGCTCAGATAAGATCCACACGTGACCAACACAAACTGATGAAGCGCTGTCTTTCTGCACACAGTTGAGCCAATATGTACCCAGTTGCCCAAGGGTCCACCGAGTAAAACCAGGCGAGTCTCAGGGCAGTTTGGCAGGGCCCTTTCTAAAGCTGCACTAAAACAAAAGGGGAACAAGAAAAGACTTTATCATGCTCGGTGAGAAAAATCCAGACAGTGGAATACGCACACTTCTTAGAGGTAGAGGAATAGGGCAAATTCCCTATTTTCTGTAGAGACTGCAAAGGTGCTGGCTGCACCTTTGATCTGACCTGTACAGTTTTCTCCTTCCTCGGATAAGGAGTGTGGAGCAAAAATCCTCTCGGCTCCTATGAAGTAGAACCTGCAACAGGAGGATGCTGAGGGCTGCGCTGCCATCCAGAGGGACCTGGACAGACTGGACAACTGAGCGGTGAAAAACCTCATGCAATTCAACAAGGCCAAGTGCAAGGTCCTGCACCTGGGGAGGAATAACCCCAGACACCAGTACAGGCTGGGGACCGACCTTGTGGAGAGCAACTCTGCAGAGAAAGACCTGGGTGTCATGGTGGACGACAAGT